TGTAGAGCAGGGTGCACCTAAAGGCGCTGCTGTTTGATGTCTTTAACACGTCCCAGACTGACGCCTATTTCGCGTGGCATTCACGTGTGACCGCGGCCTTTTTCGATGCGAGGCTGGCGTGACACACATGGTGTGTCACGCGGCCACACGGGACAGGTTTCAGTCGCGATTTTTTCTCACTGATTATTTCACTCTGAAAACTTGTACGTGGGGTTATTTCACATCCCAATCACGAATATGACAATCATTTTTGGCGCCGGCGCCATTTGGCGCCAGCGGGAGCCAATTTGGCGCCACGATCGTATTTAGCGAAATTGATGTGGTTTTGCATTCGAAGGTCGTACTCGAGGATCGCGATCTCGAATACGACCTTCATTTTTCTTCTGAGCCCTGACAACCGGTTCCGATCGATGGCCAGCTATCAAGAGGGCATTGCAAATTCCTCTGATTCTCCTTTGCAAAGCATGAACACATCCTCATCTAATTTCATCAAAACGAAACACGAGTATTACATATCCAATTATCCTGGTTCCTAACCTCACATCGTTTTTGTTGAAGAAAGTAATAGCGCTAAAATGGCGTCTCGTGGCGTCACCGCTGAAGATATCTGTAGCTAGAGACCTCGCTAACCTCCGAATGTATATTTATATCGATTTCGGTGAAAGATGTCATAACGCCAAACTGGCGCCAAACTGCGCCAAATGGCGTCAGCTTCGAGAGCGTATGTCACTTTCGAGATTCAGGATCCTTCATCGCCCCGTAAACGCACGTTTTTTAATAGAATTTTGTGAAGAAGCCACGGCACCATACTGGCGCAGTGGCGCCAAATGGAGCGGACGCTATAAGAGTGTGTCATAATCACGATCGGGACACCGAATGGCCTCAGTAGATCAGTCTATCAGCAAATTCGTTCTGGGTGCGATGCATTTCTAGAGCATGATGGTTTTATTATGATTGGCTACACTTTAGAAAAATGTTTTACAAATGAACTACCAGAGCGTTCCGCGGCCCAACCATATGCAGGAATTCGTACCTACATAGGGATATATAACAACTCAAAGAATTTGCGCAACAGTCAAAACATAGGGAAATTTTAGCTTCTGAAGATCGTGACACACCATGTGTGTCACGCGGCCACAGGGAGCAGACAACGTGTGACACACCATGTGTTTCACGCGGTCCGGAACGTTAACCATTCAATTATCGCGACTATGCTACAATCTGATTGAATATGGCACTCAAACAACGATGGATTTAATGACCGTTTTCATTTCTGACAGATCGTTCCCATCGGAGACTTTGAACAGCTGGTCATGTGCTTTCCGATTCCTGACCTAACGGATGAGTACAAGTGGGACCCTGCGTCATACATCCGTAAGTTATTTCACTGCAACTTCGCATTTCGGAAAGTGTCCGCGTTACGGGGTAAATTGAAGTTGACTGATTTGTAAAATGATG